TTTTTTTTTTTTTTTCCTTTTTTGCCATCTACCATTTAAACAATTTGAAATTCAAACTACAGATCATTTCTTTCGGTTTAAGATGATGATCAAGAATTTGATTTTGGATTTGGAGTAAAGTCAAAGCAAAAGATTAAGCTAAAAAGATAAGTACTAAAAGAAATAATAATATATAATAAAGTCAAATTTTTTGGATGGGGGCCTCTCAAATGGTAACAAGATAGAGGTAGTAACTAACTAGGTATATATGGTGATGATGGTGACCCAAGAAAAACAAAGTACGTATCAAATTTGTACAAGCATAATAATGGGAAGAAGAAGAAAGTTGTGGGTGACAAGGAGAAGAAAGAGCCCATTGGTGGGTATGCTGTCACACTCCAATATGTTGGGAAATTATTAGTTTCTTGTCTTCCCCACTTCACCTTCCACACTATGGCTTTCCATTGCCAATATAGGCCGAGAGCTTCTTAAAAGGAACAAAATTCTTCTCGCCAAATTAGGTGAGAATTTGGCAAAAAAAAAAAAAGAAAAAAATGTTCATTTCGAGATTGAGCTTAAGAAAGCCATGTAAACTTAAACCTAATAATGTTTTAAGAACAGACCTGATGCTTGACCCGTTTTGGGTACGAATCTGCTAAAAAAAACATGTTCATTTTGAGATTGAGCTTAAGAAAGCCACGTAAACTTGAACCTAAACTTGGACAATTGCTAGGTTAATTAGTTGGTGCTTGAATATGGATTGTAACAATTCATATTTCATGTCAAAATGATGATCCAAGAAAGCCATATTAGAATTTACCATTGATAACAAACTATGGTGAATTGGTGATTAGGAGAAAGTCATGCATGCCAAAATTTACTCCAAAATGTTACCCCAATCCAACAAAGTGTATATTTTTTGGATTTGTCTAACTTGTGTGCCCTAAAAGTATAGATTAAAAGTGTAATAAATGTATTTTGTAATTAATTTATATTAAAAATTATAAAAATGGACATATATTTTAACATTACTGATACGTAAATGATTTTAATTAGTTAATTAATTAAATCAAAGTCAACATTTATATTTTTAATAAAAAAATTAATTATAAAAAAATACATTTATTGCACCCTTATCATGTATCTTAAGAGCACATGATAAAATAAATCCATATTTTTTTTAGAAATATATTTTTCAATTTAAACTACATTTTTTGAGATTCATGTATTATAATCCAAATTATATATTAAAAATACAATTTATCTTATAAATTTATTAGAATATCTTTACTAAAATAACATAAAAAATAATTTCATTAAAGATATTTTAATAAATTTATAAGATATAATACATTTTTAATAAATAATTTGTCCTATAAAACACTTTTTGATATTTTATTATACAATTTAATATTAAAATTATCAAAATACCCTTAATAAAACTCTTCTTCATATTTATTTACTAATAATATTTTAGTGAATTTAATAATTAGACTAAAAAAAAAAAAACTTCAATGCCTACAAAAAACACCTATCTCATTTTTTTTTTAATGCATAAAAGCAGTTACCACTAAATAGTAAATACCAATAACACAAGGCTTTACATATGCACGTTACACACTCTGGCCATGTGCTTGCTTTTTGTGGAAAACTTTCTAACTTATTGCAAATAATTTTTTTTTTTTTTTGTTATCTTGGTTGTGGAATGAGAGGCCATCACTTCTCATCGTTTATCTTACTCCATCCACATGTTATACGATTCAAATTCAAAATCTCTTACTTTCAACGAAAAAAAATAATTACTTAATTATTTAGACCATTAGTAATTTATTATAAATAATTGATTCTCAATTAAGTTTTTATATATATGTATCCATGTGAATTAATCTTGTGATTAAAATGGCTAAAATTTTGCCGCATTTTGGATACCGAGTCAAACATATTAAACTAAAAACATTTAAAAACTTTATACGTAATCCCAAAAAATGAAGTCCTACAGTCTTAAGTTGCGTGTTTGGAATAATTTGATTAAAGATTCATAATGTCAAATTACAGCTAGCTTCTAGTGATCAGTTACACAATTTTTTTTTCTTTTATTTTTTTTTAAGAAACAAAAATTTATTAAAATAATAAAAATCCAGATTACTCCTACGTACGAAATCATATGTCCTAGTTTTTAACCAATACAAAAGCATATGGTAAAGTACTAGATGCAAAATAGAATTATATCACTATAAATATAAATAGAAATAGTAATTTGCTCTAAAACTATAGAGTTTTATGAGGATATTCGTCATGGAAATGGAGATTTTGAAATTATTTTTTTTTTTTTGAGGTTAATTTTTTTTTTTTATAAAATTTTGTGAAAGATTTCTTCCATTCCATGGGTCCTTCTGGGGTTTTTTTTCTATTAAAAATTTTATTTTTTTTTTTTTTATTTTTTATTTTTTTTTTAAAACCTTAAACTTCATTTATTTTTACCCAATCCAACTTAAATTTATATTTTTATAAATTATAATATATTTATAAAAATATAAAACTCAATTTGTTTCAAATTTTTACTCTCTTTACATTGTTTTTTTTATAGATTTATTGGATTGTATGCATTTACTGAACTGTATGCATTTACTGGACTATATGCATTTGCTAGTTTTAGATTTCTACTCTTTTTTATTTCTTTATATAATACTTTTTTATGGTGTTTGTGAAAATTTTTACATACTTTTCACTTCTGTATGTTTTTACTTTCATACCCCATGAATCTTTTTGTAATGTAATAAAATTTATTTATAAAAAAAAAATGATGTTAAATTCTATAATTTTAATATTTGATAAAAAATTTGCAAACACGCGAAGACTTACCATTCCTCAAGGATGGAGACAAAATTAAGATATTTTTTGTCTTTGCCTAAAATCCTCTAGGGATTCTCATATCTGTCATTGTAGAGGTAGGAATGGAGAGGGGTCCTTGCCCCACATGGACCGTTATCATCCCTAAATATAAATAATTAAATATAAAGAGTTACATTTACTTAAAAATTATTGTAGTAGGGTAGGGTCAAGCCAATACACAAATTTCTAACATAGAAAAAATGTTGTTAGTGTTATTATTATTATTATTTTACATTAAAGGGTTAGCTATTTAGTAATATAGAAGTTTTAAACTTTTAATTTTAATCTCAAATCAAGATTTTTAAATTAGTTTATACCAATTCAATTAAGTTCTTATTGATTAAAAATTATTATTATGAGTATTCTAAACTATTAAACATTCTCAACTTATAAAATCAGTTATGCATGATTACACTATAGTGTATTCTATTATTACAATTCTTAATTTATTTAAAAATACTTGGATTAAATAAAATTATATCCTACCTGTCATGACATGCATGACATATGGTTTTCATATTCTAAGTGAAAAGAAAAAAAAAAAAAGGCATAAACCCATCAAAATACAACTAATTAAGGAACTGCCAGATTTTCTTGTTAAGTTCTATGAAAAACATAACAACAACATTGCATTGTCCAAAAATAGACTTGGTTTGATTGTGATATGTTTCTTATGTGAATCCTTGATTGGTAGTGTGCTGTTGATGGCAACCAAAAAATCAAGATGTTCTTCAAGTTGTCTCCTTAATATATATTCCTTGATATTGCAATATCTCTTTGAAAATAACGGAATTCAGGATTTTGAGTTTATGAACATTGGAAACTATGGAGGAAGATGTCCTTTCCTCATACTGTATTCAGACACAGAAGAGGGGCATAGATCATTTTTTGATGATACAACAAAGGTATATGGTACTAATTAGATGCAGTTCAGGAGAGATTTGAACCTGTTCTTCAAGGGGCTAATATGCACTGCACTTGTTCGTCCTCTCTTGATCACTGTCTTTCAGGGAGGTGAGTTATCTCCATCCGAATCTGCATCTTTTCTCAAGTTCATTAAATCTGTTGACCCTCAAAACGTGCTAGGAAATCACCTGGATGAGTTTCTGGGGAATCCTTGCTTGTATGAGGGGGAAGGTGTCAAATGCAATCTTCAGGGTACCTCCATAGAGAAAATAAGGGTTGAGAATCTGAATTTGAGTGGGGTAATTGATGTACATTCCCTTTGCATGCTCCAAAATCTGCAACTTCTTAGTCTAGCAAGGAATCTCATCCATGGAACTATTCCTAGCTCAATCAGGCATTGTTCAAAGCTGTGGTATTTGAATTTAAGCAGCAATAATCTAAGTGGAAGGAAACTTTGGCCTTGATCAAGTTGGAAAATCTGAAAAGCTTAGACATCTGCAACAATCATTTCCAGCACCTTTATAGGCATTCCTTGGAACCAATTTCATTGCAGGGAGAGATTACTTTAAACTCAGAAAGGAATATGGATTCAAAATTCAAACCTTCAGCAGCAGCTGATCCTAGTAAGGTTGATTCTAAAGAGAATCAAAAGTGGTTAAACAGCATACCTTTAGTTCTTGGCATTGGATTGTTCTGCGTATTCATATATGTGGTGGGCCTAAAGGTGACCAGACAAAAGGAGATTCAGAGGGCCATCAGACAGAAGGCCAACCTGGACTCTCCTCTAAAAATGCCTCCTGGTATGGAGGTAGAGGAAGGGAGGGCAGAGGAAAGTCGGTCACAACTTGTTTTCCTTGTTGAAGAGGATCAAAGGTTCAAACTGGAGGACCTACTTGAGGCAACAGCAGATTTAAGAGGCGAGAGCATTAGCAGCTGGCTTTATCAGGTACAACTTAAGGACAATGTTACTTATGCTGTCAAAAGATTGAAGAAATTGCGGGTATCAATTGAAGAGTTTGGTGAGACAATGAGGGAGATAGGGAACATGAAGCATCCCAACATTCTACTCCTTGTTGCATACAAGTCCACTGATGAAGAGAAGCTTCTGATCTACCACTATCAAAGCAATGGAAGCCTCCTAAACTTTCTAGAAAGTAAGTAGCATATACAATTAGTTCATTTTGAGCAAGAATTCATGCCAGGACATGTCTGCACTGCATAAGAATAACACACCAACACAGGCAACACATGCACATGGCAAGACTAGCAGGAACAGAAAAAATAGAAAAATGGGGAATTCTCTCAAACTGCATTCATCATAATGCCTAACCTCTTAAGATATTGCTGGACCCACCCTTTCTCTTAAAAGGCTTGCTAGTAGGAAAATGATATTAGGATGTCTAATGTAAGATTTTTATGACTGGAATAAGGACTAATTCCATGGAGTCTCTTATGTCCAAGCAAATATTGTTGTTAACCTTCAGGCTCCATTGAAGGCAGGAGAGATTTTCCTTGGAGACTTAGGCTGTCCATAGCAAGCGGCATTGCAAGGGGCTTGGCCTTTATATATCAGAGGTTGGATGAAAAGGAGAGCATTCCCCGTGGAAATATAAAGCTCTCAAATATACAGCTGGATGATAACATGGAGCCATTAATTAGTGAATATGGGATATCAAGATTTCTAGACCCGAAGAAAAATTCCCTCTTCTCCTTCCATGTTTATTCTGCCCCGGAGAAAAGTTTCACAGAGAAAGGAGATGTTTACAGCTTTGGTGTTATCCTACTGGAGTTACTAACAGGCAAAAATGTAGAGAAAACTGGGATAGACCTTCCTAAGTGGGTGAGGTCCATGGTGAGGGAGGAATGGACTGGAGAGGTCTTTGACAAGGAGGTTAACAGAGATGCAATACAATGGGCATTTCCTCTGCTGAACATTGCCCTCAAATGCACATGACCTTCCCCTCAAGATCGACCAACCATGGCAGAGATTGTAGAGGAGTTAGAGGAGGTTTCAAATATGCATAAAGAGCATTCTATTTCTTCAATGTCTTCTTGGGAATCAAGCCAACATGACTGCTGCCTACTTCACACAGTCATACCTGAAACCTGGGACACCCCAGGATCAAATTACTAGAATGGCACTGGATGTGTTCTCCATGCTCCATTTCTCTTCCAAACAAGAACAACAGTAGTTTTCCTCCATTGAGCGGGAAGAACTTGCAAGTTAAGTTTAATAAGAAATCTATCTGAGCCTTGCTTTAAGAGCAGAAGCCAAAGTATATAGGAGGCAGAATGATCCGGATTCTAAGTCATACTAATACTATTATACATAAAGATGAAAAAGTATGTTTTTGTTGTTTGATTGTCTCTTTTGTCGTATCAGTCATTATTGAAAGCTACCTTTTAACCCTTTTTTAGTTAAAACTAATTGAGGACTAAACACAAACAGAAACCAGACACTTAATGATTCTATCTGTCTTGTTTAAATTCTAAGCAAAATATATAATTTGTGTAAAACCCAAGCATAATCCTATATTTAAGCTAATTAAACAAACATTAGACTTTAAACAAGAACTAAGATAAATTAAAAGAAGGTTTAAACATGAAATGAATGATAGTGGGACATATATTCGCTGTTCTACTATTTCATGATCCAATGACAGCTCTTTTCTAGCTTCTTCCCATGTTCTCACGTTACATTCCCTTACCTTTAGAGGGTTATGTAAGTAATGACTAGAGATATTAAAGAATAATGTAATCATCAATTATGAGCCATAAATTGGGGGAAATGAAAGATGATTTGATTTGATTTAATTTAAATTAAAGGGAAGTTGTGATAGGAATTATCTTGTTTTTTAAGTTTGGTTGGAGTTGAACTGTTGTAAGTTGTAACATGGTGCAGGCCAAGTCATTGAATATCCTATGTGCAACATGTCTTCCACACACCAACTTGCCTTTCAAAATAAAATAAGCATTGAACCTTCCATTTGCTTTCCCTAAATTAATTTAAATGCAAACAGCAAAGAGTTGTTCAACCATTATCAGAAAATTGACAGGAGCAATCTTTGCATACAAGATCAAGAACGCAGCTTGAACATGCCGAGAATCGAATAGTTACATTCACATTAATTTGCAGCAATTGACTACCAAATTTGGTAGACTCATTCTTCCTCTACACTTACACTGATGAAATTTCATCTCTGATTCACCCTTCTGATTGTAGCCTTATACAACAATCTTCTCATACCAAATTTCCTGACTAAAACTCAACATTTCCTGAGTTCCAAAGCTATTCCTAATTAACACCAACATTAGATTTTGAGCTGTACTTCCCATTTACATTTCTTCGAAAGCTCAGATCTGGTTAGACATGATGGCAATGAACTGTAATTAATTTGGATGGGTACCATAAAATGTATATCTGAAAAAACTGAAAAATAAATACTTAAAAGTAAAGATCAAACTTGGTTGTAACTCCACTAACGGTTATGTTTGGTCTAGTCTGAATCCAACCAGACTCCATCATGGAACATGAGTTTTATCTGTTTCATGAACTTAGAAAACAACAGCATGCCAAATTCCCATATGACTTTTTTACAGCACTGTCTTGAATTGAAACTTAACATAGAGCTTTCCATTTCTAACTTAACAAAGTGAAAAATTAGTAATTAAAAGATTAAAAAATAAAGATCTAATCCCTAATAAAGTGGTCCAAAAGTCTGTTTCATGATTAAAAATTCAAAAGTTGTATATGATTTGGTTCTAACATGCAATCCAAAGTGAGGAATAGTTTGTCATGATCTTACATGGGTGCACAGAGAACTGATTCAATGCTTACATGTTAAAAATAAAAATCACAATAAAATAGTGAAGAAAAACAGATGTAAGAAATAGATTATTTTTTTTCAAAAATTACATTTTTTTTTATTTATTAAAAAGAGAGAGAAAAGAAAAGGAAGAAAAAAAACATCACCATCTCTTGTCATCACTCTTCTTTAGGCTCCTCCAAATATTCTTACACCAGAGGATTGCCTCAATCTCTCTCCCTCCATATATATTCTCTCTCTTCTTTCTCTGTCTCTCTCACATTCCATTTCTTTTGATTTTAATTTAATTAAGAGGAGTGGAATAACCAAGAAAGATAAAAAGGAAACAGGGGGAAGAGAGGATCCTCTTTTTGGAGAGAGAGAGGGGTAATGAAGGCCATCTCTTTTGTTTCCATTGCTATCATTCCTCTTCTCAGATCTTAGTTTCTCTAATTTTTGTCATCTGGGTCATCTCCAAAATGGTAAATTTCACATCTTTTTCCTTTTGTTTTTCCCTTTGATCTTTCTGCGGACATTTTCTGTGTCTTGATCCACATAATTTGGTGCTCAATTTTCATTTTTGTTATCATTAGGAACTTGGGTTCTTGTTCTGATTGGTCCTTGAAGTGTCCGATGATCCTAGATTGGATTTGACAGCTACCCACTTTGTATTTGATCGGATTCTGTCTGTAAGGTATGTTTATTACATACCTTATAAATTCATCAACTAAGGTATGATTTTTTTTTTCCCCTGTTGGATTCTTCTTGCTATTCTCATTTCGATCTGTTTGCTATTGTTTTTTTTTACAGAGATTGATTGTTTTGGTTGTTGATGATGTCTAATTACGTAATTCAGATTTGTTTCTATTGTTAAAGGTCATTCATTTGTTGATGTGTTTCTGAATTTCTGGTTGAATTTCCAATTTAATTTTGAACCCAATTGTAGAATCAGTTTTGATGTTATTTTGTTTTTGGCATTGAAATTGGTGGATGACATGGGGATTTGTATTTGTCAATAGTAGATAAGATGGAATCAGATCTTGGCAAACTATTCATTGGTGGGATTTCCTGGGATACTGATGAAGAGCGTCTTAAGGAATACTTTAGGAAGTATGGAGAAGTCGTGGAGGCAGTGATCATGAGGGATCGTATCACTGGTCGTGCACGTGGCTTTGGTTTTGTTGTCTTTGCTGACCCTGCTGTTGCAGAAAGGGTCATCATGGATAAGCACATGATTGATGGACGAACGGTGAGTAACTTGATTGAAAAATTCCAATTATGCTTAGTACATTATGGATTTTGTTGAGATTCTATAGCTTTTCCCATCTGTAAAATACCATTGCAGAAGTTTTGAATAGGATGTGCATTGTTCCTGCTCTTACTCGGTCAAAGTGGAGATTGCCATTTCTCCAGACATAAAGTATTGAATTTGAAATATTTTTGCTGCATTGACCTTATTTTATTTGGCTTGTCTACATTTAATGCCTGTGCTTGGGTTGGAGCTGAAAATGATGTGTAATTGCTTGATTTTAGTTGCTGGAATCTCAATTTTCAGGTGGAGGCAAAGAAGGCTGTCCCTAGAGATGATCAACACATTATAAACAGAAATGCCAGTGTCCATGGTTCTCCTGTTCCTGGACGCACAAAAAAGATTTTTGTCGGAGGTCTACCATCTTCAGTCAATGAGGGTGAGTTTAAGAAGTACTTTGATCAATTCGGTACTATTACTGATGTTGTGGTGATGTATGACCACAACACTCAGAGGCCAAGAGGGTTTGGTTTCATCACTTATGATTCAGAAGAAGCAGTAGACAGAGTCCTGCATAAAACATTTCATGAACTGAATGGTAAAATGGTTGAGGTTAAGAGGGCGGTCCCTAAAGAGCTATCCCCTGGCCCCAGCCGAAGCCCTATGGGATATGGTTATGGAATGAATAGGGCTGCCAACTTCCTCAATAATTATGCTCAGGGATTTAATCTAACGTCACTTGGTGGTTTTGGAGTCAGGACAGATGGCAGATTTAACCCACTTGCTAGTGCTCGAGGTGGGTTTCCTTCATTTGGTACCACTGGGTATGGAATAGGTATGAATATTGAGGGAGGGATGAGCCCAAGCTATGGTGGAAGTTCCAATCTTGGCAGTAGTCTAGGATATGGACGGATGTTGAGTCCATATTATAGTGGTAACTCAAACAGGTATAACACTCCTATTGGGTATGGTTTAGGAAGCGGAAGAGGTGATTCTGTTTTGAACTCTAATACTCGAAATGTTTGGGGAAATGGGGGCCTTAACAGTGCTGCAAATGCTTCCAATGATGGTGGTTATTTGGGTTCTGGAACTGGGAGTTTTGGTATTTCATTAGGAAACAGTGGAGCAAATTGGAGCCCTTCTCCTGTTTCAGCTCAAGGTGGAGGGAGTGCTTTCGGCTATGGTGGTGGGAGTGTCAATTATGGCAGTGGTGATGACAACTATGGTTTGGGAGGGGGAGGATATGGAAGGAGCAGTAGCACAATGTCAGCACCGGCTTCATCATTTTCTGCGCCAGCTGGCAGCTTTGAAGGGTCCTATGGTGACTTGTATCGCAGTGGTTCAGTTTATGGTGATTCAACTTGGCGGTCTGCTACTTCTGAGTTAGATGGTTCTGGTTCATTTGATTATGGACTTGGCAATTTATCCTCAGATGTTACAGCAAATAGTTCTGAGGGTTATGCTGGGAGTTACAGTGTTGCAAATAGACAACCAAATAGAGGTAGTGCCACATTTAAATTTATTTAACGAGTCTTTTGAATCACTTATGAAGTTAGTTTAGCCCTTGAATAAGGGTTCATAGAATGCTGATAAATAGATTATTGACATATTGTCTAGCTGAAGTTATGAATGTTTCAAGCTGGAACTCAAGGTCATTTAATTATTAAAATATTGGATTGTTCTTATTTCTGGCATTTAATTAGCTACTTGAGGGAGAGTGAAAGAAAATAGCTCCATTCATATTCGTATTAAATTCAAAGATTTCACAATTTAACTATTAAGAATATACTTTTTTACCTATTGAAGTCTAACATATTTGTTTGACTAATTTGATTGGTATCAGTATATTGCCAGCACTTGCTTTGTTATGCAAACCAGAAATTTTATTAAGGTTGTAGAACTTAAAGTGAATGTCACCTTTGCTTTTAACATTGTCTGGTTTGACAAGTTTTCTCTTCAATGAACTAAATTATAGCCTGTATGTTCACCTTCATTCATTTAATGAACTGCAGGAATTGCTGCCTAGGAAATACACTATTTTGATGTTGAAAGGTATAACATAGGTGAACGGAATCTGATGGAACAGATTAAGGATTGCAATTGTGGTAAAGGTCCTCCTTGTTTCATGTCAGCTTATAATGAAATTGATGTTATAGTGCTAACGGGGTTCTTGATTTCAAACATACACATTCAGAGAGAGCAGTTAAAAGAGTTCTATAAGGTTTGCATTTTTTTTCTTTTCTTTCTTTTTCCTTTTTAAATAGCAAAGAATTTAGGCTCTTTTCTTCGCATTTGAGTGAGGTGTAAAATCAGATTGCGGGATATATAATCAGGAAGATTATACCGTGCATCTCCAGTGAGCTGTGCTAGCGGTAGCACATCAAACAATAGACTTAATTTTTCCTTTTTTTACAAATTCTGTAATGCCTGGCAAGGTTGCTGGCTTGTGTTTCGTAAATTTTCTTTGCATTTCATCTGAGATTGTTTTTCTCTCAGATTGTAAGTGAGTTTTCTCTCAAATTTGTTAGTGTGAAAACATTAGAGGGATGCCCTTCTAACATCCCTATCAAATAAGTTACAGAATACTCTGATTCATTAAAAGCCTGAATATCATCTCTTCTTCACTTTCTTTTTCTCTATGCTTTACCTTTTACATTAATAGCATGAAAATCATCTGGATGATCCAAGGACATGGCTGTCTCGATTCCAATAAAATCTTGTATTATCTGTTTCTGTGTGCAATGCTACAAATGCTATTAGATTTTGTGTCTGTTCTGTAAGTTTATTCTGTGTGGTCATACTGGACTTCTTATCCATGACATAGGACGTCTTTTATGGTGCATTAAATAAGAAATGTCTTTGCTTGGCTTGGCTTTTCAAATCACTTTCATCTTTATCTTTTGCAAGGGTACCTAAATTGGATACTTTCTTAGTGATTTTTGTGGTCCTCTATTCCTCGCACAGAATGAGCATTTTGTTATGTGGGCTTTGCTTTCCACGTTCCCCTCAAAAGTATGCAAAAGTGATTGTATAGGATGCCAATATAACCATAGGCAGGGCTAGGCCCAATGACATAAGGGTCTATCTGTCTTTGGGGCTCTTCCAATGCAACCTTCTGTGTGATTTTTGGTTTTCTGAAACTGTGAGTCAGTTTATGCACATTAAATCTGCCATTGTGGTCTTGTTAGAATAGGTCTCAATTGTTTTGGCTTTCCCCAAGGACACAAGCCATCTCTTTGGTTTGACTTCGTTTGTTTTGAAAAGCTTGTAAAAATTTCATGGAGATGAAAGATCTTAATATTTCAAGTAAATCCATTCAAGGATTTCCTTCACAAAAACAAGTTTAAAAAAATGTTATCTCATGGATGAGTCCTTCCAAATGTTTGCCAGCAATGATGCTTAGAAAATTAGAACATTTGGAGCTCAACTGGGTCCAACATGTTGAAATGCTAGCGTTCTGATTGCACCCGATTTTGACATATTGGCTCCAATTGCACACTATCCAAGGCTTGTTGAATTTTCTTGCCAGCACCCAGGAGTTCAGAGCTAGTGTAGGAAACATGATTCAATCACCAGAGATTTCTCTGCATTTTTGAAATTATGCCATCCCTTAAAAAGGGGATTAATGTATCCAACATGCAATCCTCTTTTCCTTCTGCTTTATAGGATTCCTCATTCTCTTCGATGTGAAAGACAGGAAAAGAGAAGGTATAGACAAAGGGGAAAAGGTCAAAAAGGTGAATATCTCCTTTCTCACCTACAAACATGCTCCTTCTCTATCTAATTGAAAACTTCACCCAAGGTGATAAATTAATATGAATAAACACTAGTTGAAAACACGTGTAAAGGTGCCTGTACCTTTGAAGTAAAATTGTGCATGGGAGTACCTTTAGTATGAAGGATAGAATATGACAGCAAACAGCATCAAAGGGATTGTTAATATCAGATAAACATCTTTAATGTTTTCAGCAAAGCAAAAAGAAGTTATCTTTTGCTGCAGCTCTTAGCAATGGCATCAAACCAGAAACTTAGAGATCTCCAATGGGTTTTAGATGCAATTGAAACTGAGAGCCTTAACCTTCACAATGTCTCCTTCTACTTTTCTCAGCCATCTTCATGCTGTCACCAAGAAACAGAAAACTCCATCAACATTAACATTTCCACAGACAGTCGTCAACTTTTCTCCTACATTCTGATAGTGCTAGGAACCTCCAAGAACACCCAGTTGTCTCTAAGGAACTTGGAGTTTCATTTTGTTGAATGGGAATTAGAACAGGTACAGAGTCTAGGAGGGTTGCTAGACAGTAACTTAGGCATCAAACAGGTTGTGTTCCGGGGAAACAGATTCACTACAGAATGTTTATCGGAGCTTTCTGAGATTCTGAAGAGAAATGGAGGTATCAAAGAGATCACATTTTCTGAGTCGGCTATTAGAGCTGTTGGGGCGGGACTTGTAGCTTCAGCTGTCAAGGTGAACGATAGCTTGGAAGAGTTACAGATATGGGAAGACTCAATTGGATCAAAAGGTGCAGAGGAGCTGTCAAAGATGATAGAAGCAAACTCAATGCTGAAGCTCTTGACAATTTTCGACTCGAGTTCAATCACAGCAACCCCACTAATATCTGCTGTTTTAGCAAGAAACAGAGCTATGGAAGTCCACGTTTGGAGTGGAGGCAATGGAGATAGAATCTCCAAGGTGGTTGAGTTTGTACCTGAGAACAGCACACTTAGAATTTACAGAATAGACGTTTCAGGTGCTTGCCGAGTTGCTTGTGCTCTAGGCTTGAACTCAACTGTGAGGTCTCTTGATCTGACTGGGGTACGGCTCAAATCCAAGTGGGCTAAAGAATTTCGGTGGGCATTGGAACAGAATCAAACCCTGAAAGAGGTGAAATTATCAAAAACTTGTCTTAAAGACAAGGGAGTTGTGTATGTAGCAGCCGGACTTTTCAAGAACAGGAGCCTGGAAAGTTTATACCTCGATGGAAATTGGTTCAGTGGAGGAGGCGTGGAACATTTGCTCTGCCCTTTGAGCAGATTCTCAGCCTTGCAACTGCAAGCTAACATTACACTGAAAGCAGTAACCTTTGGAGGAAAAAGAACCAAAATTGGAAGAGATGGACTTTCAGCAATCTTACAGATGTTAGCAACAAATGAAACTGTTAACCGGTTAGGGATATACGATGATGAGAGCATGAGACCAGACGATTTTGTCAGGATTTTCAAGTGCTTGGAGAAAAATGCCACTCTGAGATGCTTATCTTTACAGGGTTGCAAGGCGGTTCGAGGGGACAGGGTCTTGCAGGCGATAATGGAGACTTTACAGATCAATCCTTGGATTGAAGATATTGATCTTGCTCGAACACCCCTTCAGAATTCTGGTAAAGCTGATGGAGTTTATCAAAGATTAGGCCAGAATGGGAAGACAGAACCTGAAACTGACATACAAACTGACTTGCTCAAGGACATGGCTCTCACAGAGCCTAAAAGCTGTAGGGTTTTCTTCTGTGGACAAGAATATGCTGGTAAGTTCAACTTCACCCATTCTTTCTACAATCCCAGGACTTGAATCCTTGATGTTTGTTATTTCTGATATGCCTTTTTGCAGGGAAGACAACACTTTGCAATTCAATATCACAGAACTTCTCTTCTCCAAAGCTTCCTTACATTGAGCAAGTCAGGACACTGGTGAACCCTGTTGAGCAAGCTGTGAGAACTACCGGTATGAAGATAAAGACATTCAAAGACGAAGATACAAACATTTCCATCTGGAATCTTGCAGGGCAACATGAATTCTACTCCCTCCATGACCTGATGTTTCCGGGGCATGGGAGTGGCTCATTCTTCCTCATCATTTCAAGTTTGTTCAGAAAACCAAGCAACAGAGAACCAAAAACACCAGAAGAAGTAGAGGAGGACCTCCAGTACTGGCTCAGGTTCATCGTCTCCAACTCAAAAAGAGCAGTCCAACAATGCATGCTACCCAATGTAACCATAGTCCTAACCCATTTCGACAATATCAATCAACCATCTCAAAGTTTCCAGGCTACAGTGAATGCAATTCAAAGATTGAGAGATAAATTTCATGGATTCGTCGAATTCTATCCTACTGTATTCACAGTTGATGCAAGATCATCAGCCTCAGTCAGTAAACTTACCAATCACATCAGGAGAACAACCAAGACTATCCTTCAGAGAGTCCCTAAGGTTTATCAGCTCTGCAATGACCTCATCCAGGTTCTATCCGACTGGAGATCGGAGAACTACAACAAACCGGCGATGAAATGGAAGGAATTTTCCAAAGTCTGTCAAGGTAAAGTTCCAGTCTTGAGAATCCGTTCCCGGAACGATAACAAGGAGAGGGTGGAATTGAGGAGGAAAGCTGTCGCTACCTGTCTTCATCAATTAGGGGAAGTGATATACTTTGATGAACTGGGGTTTCTGATTCTGGATTGTGAGTGGTTCTGCGGCGAAGTTCTGGGTCAGCTGGTGAAGCTGGAAGTTCGGAGGCAGAGCCCCTCGGAGAATGGGTTCATCAGCCGGAAAGAGCTGGAGAAGATTCTAAGAGGGAGTTTGCAGAGTCAGATTCCGGGAATGGGTTCGAAGGTATTCGAGAACCTGGACGCCGGTGACCTTGTAAGAATGATGATGAAACTGGAACTCTGCTACGAACAGGATCCATCGGACCCAAATTCTCTCCTTTTGATTCCTTCTATTCTCGAAGAAGGCAGAGGGAGGCCGCAGAAGTGGCAGTTAAGCACCTCCGACTGCATTTTCGCCGGCCGGCATCTTGTTTGCGATGATTCCAGCCATACTTTCCTAACGCCCGGCTTCTTCCCTCGTCTACAGGTAAGAATTCTACGTTTCCCCATGTGTATTTGAATACACCATTTTTCATTCAAAAGTACTGCCTTTCTTGCCAAATTTTCATCCATTTGCAATTACAGGTACACTTACATAACAGAATCATGGCATTGAAGAATCAACATGGGGCAACTTATACCCTTGAGAAGTACCTAATCTCTATAAACATCAATGGCATCTATGTCAGACTAGAGCTTGGAGGACAATTGGGTTACTACATTGATGTCCTTGCCTGTTCCACAAAGAACCTGACTGAAACCCTCAGACTTATCCAACAGCTAATCATTCCGGCAATCCAGAGCCTCTGTAACGGTGTAACCTTGATCGAGAATGTCATGAGACCAGAATGTGTCCGGAATCTGACTCCTCCAAGGTACAGGAAAACCCAGTTCGTTTCTCTCCAGCAACTAAAACAGGCTCTTCTTTCAATTCCAGCTGATGGAATGTATGATTATCAGCACACTTGGGATTCAGTTTTAGATTCAGGAAAACCTGTTTTACGAGCTGGGTTTGATTTTGCCCGAGACCTCCTGTCGGATGATGATTTCAGGGAAGTATTGCACCGGAGATATCATGACCTGTACAACCTTGCCCAGGAGCTGCAAGTGCCTGCGGAGAACAACCCTGATGGAACTGATCATTCCTTGTCCACAGCAGATGAAACTGAGAGGGTTGAGCCAACTTTTGGTGGAATTGCTAAGGGAGTGGAAGCAGTTTTGCAGAGATTAAAGATTATTGAACAAGAAATCAGAGATCTAAAGCAGGAGATTCAAGGGCTGAGATATTATGAGCATAGGCTTCTAATTGAGCTTTATCGGAAAGTGAACTACCTTGTGAACTACAATGTCCAGGTTGAAGAGAGGAAAGTACCTAACATGTTCTATTTTGTCAGAACAGAGAATTACACAAGGAGATTGGTCACCAACGTGATTTCTGGCATGACTGCGCTCCGGTTGCACATGTTATGTGAATTCCGGCGAGAAATGCACGTTGTTGAGGACCAGATAGGTTGTGAAGTAATGCATATTGACAACGCAACTGTGAAGAGCTTGGCTCCATACATGACAAAGTTCATGAAGCTGGTAACATTCGCTCTGAAAATTGGAGCACATTTAGCAACTGGGATGGGGCAACTGATACCGGATTTGAGCAAGGAAGTTGCTCATCTTGCTGAATCTTCCATGATGAACGGGGCAGCTGGTGTAGTCGCTGCAGGGGCTGTTGGTGCCGTGGCAATGGGAAGTGTAGATGGAATAAGAAACAGAGGCAGGAGAGGAGATATTCAACAGGAACTAAGGGCAGCACAACAATGGATTGTGGATTTCTTGAGGGACCGGAGGTGCTCAACCGGGAGGGATATTGCAGAGAAGTTTGGATTATGGAGGGTGAGATACAGGGATGATGGTCATATAGCATGGATCTGTAGGAGGCATATGACCATAAGAGCAAATGAAATTATACAAGTACCTATTTAGGGTCATTGTTTGGCTTCCAAGGAATTATTTTCTAGTGAAACAAACAGGAAGTAGAAGAGAATTATTTTCTGAGCAAAATCAGCTTCTTAGTTTCTAATGCTCTTCTGCATGTATCAATTTCTCATTTTGAATCTATTCTTGTCTTCCCTGGGTTTAATGTTAAAACCATAACTTTCTCCCTTATTTCACAAGTTACTGATCATAATTTGCAACAATAAATTCCCGTTAAACAACAGGAGTATTCAAAACTGTTGGCCAAAACTTAATTATGCGAAATAGCAAAATGGCAAAACTATTGGTTGATGTGGTTTGTCCCCATGCTTTTTGTCTAAAATCACATGGGACCAACAACCAAACCAGATGATTATTTGCATAATTAGGTCTGTTAAATGGAATAGGGGTTGCAATAATTGAAATATGGAAACAGCAGGACATGTTATAAGAGGAAAGGTTCATTTATACTAACAACAGTAGAAACAGGAGAGATGATAATAATACAAGTCATGATTTTGCCCCTCACCTAAAGCATCTTAAAACATACAAAGGAAAACACCACTACATGATATATTATTGCAATTAAATATTAGGATCAGTCCACAGTCTAAAGTCTATAGTCACCTGTGTGTTTTCCCATTCCGTGGGACCAGGGGAGCGAAAGCTCAGAAAAAGGCCCTACTTCCATAGAACACACGGGAAGCAGGGCTTTTTGATGCCTCTAGTTTCTTCTCGGAGCTTGAATTCCCAGATTCAGCTGGTCCATTGTCGATGTCAAGGGGAAGTTTCATTTTTGCCAGTGACTCAGTAAATTGCTGCATGCTTTTCATATACATGTCCACTATGTCCTGCTGAACCACCTTCTGCTCTGGCTCAATATTCACAGTAACAAAAGGCTTTAAAACTGAATCACTTGGTGCCCCAGAGGAATCACTCTCACCATCTCCAACATCTGCAGTTTTCTCTTTAGGGGCTGAGCTGTGTTCCTGAGCAGTAGTTTTTGAAGCAGCTGGAGCATCGGAGGACTCAGAGCTAGCAGCAATGGATGGAGAAGAGACCCCACTAGTTGACACACTGCTTGGAGGAGAATCAAGCTTGGGGGCTTGGATAGAGTTGACTGTAGAGCTTTCCACCCCATGAACACCCATTTCTGAACTGAGCTGATTTTCAGTATCAGAAGTGACCAAACTCTCAGACGTTTCTGACTCTAGACTGGTACAAGAGATTCCAAAGTACTCAGAAACCATTATCTGGTTCTCATTCACAATTTTTGGATCTGGGAACTCAATCTTGTCTAGCTCATTTGGAAGTGATGTTGGCATGTCTGAGTCTTTCACTGCTTCA